GCTCTCTAAACTTTCTCCTAATAATCAAGGAATTAAAAATTTTAATTTTGGAAGAAGCCCTTAGAGCTTGACAGACTCTAGACTCTCTTTGGAAGTCAGGAAATATCTGGCAAATAGTATTTTAGAGGGTACAGGAACAAAACTGTTTTCAGAGACTTAAAAGTCCAAGCAAAATTCTGAGCTAGAAACTACATGGCTGGTTTGTCAGATCTAATTCCTGGGTCAACTGTTGAAGAGTGGGATTCTGGGAACCTGGGCAAACCCAGAGTCTCTTCCAGAGACTACCTATTGACACTTGTTGCTGAGCTTTCATTTGAACCACACAGTCTCAAGTAGGGTCTCAACAGGTAAAATCTTGGAAAAAGGAAATGGTTAACACAAGACAGGTTAAGGGTTTTGTTCACAGAACCTTTTATTCAGGTCACTGCAGGCAGGGTGGAGGGAGGCAGGAACAGTACTCAGGACAGTGCTTAATGTAACCAAGGAAGTAGAGAGAAGCCTGGAAGGGCCACTTGCCAGCTTTCTTCAAACTTGCTCTGAGCAAGTCTCATGAAAGGTAAAAAACAAAGTTAAAAGGTGGATCCATTCACAAACCCCTTCCAAACAGGAAGTGTGGCTTTGGGGCTATGCAGAGGAAGCCCCCTTGGTGTGAGAAACTTCTTGCAGCCATCAAGCTCAATACACCATGGGGTGAAGTAATGCAAAGTTGGGGGATGTGGAGGCAGCACCTCACTGGCCTGGGAAGACAAAATTGGGGTAATAAAGACCAAAGATAGGATTTGACATTGACCTATCTAGACTTTCAGTTTCAACTGTGGAATATTGGCTTTGTTCATCTTTATGTATCTTAGTGTCCCAATCTATAAAGTGGAAATGATAGTAGTGTCTATCTTACAAGGTTGTAGAAAGAACAAAATACCCAGACTAAATGCTTAGTTTGGTGTCTGTTTTTAAGTACTCAACATTTAAAAGGTGATGGGCTTGGAAGAATTTAGGATAGTGACAACACAGACCAAAAATACCACTGGTTTAGAAAATGGCTAGATTAGAGCTCTGCCATTCTCCACATAGCAGAATGGTAGTGCCAGGAAGCCTAAAGTGATGGGGATAAGTGAACAACCTTACTAGTTGCAAGGTAAGGTTATTTTATATCTATCTGTCCATCCTATCTATTTATCTATCTATCTATCTATCTATCTATCTATCTATCTATCTATCTATCTATCTATCTATCTATCTATCTATCTATCTATCTATCTATCTATCTATCTATGCTGGTACTGGCTTGGACTCAGGGCCTCAAGCTCTTGCTCTTGGCTGGCACTACCACGTGAACCATGCCTCCATCCTACTCTTTTAAACATTCAACATTTAGTGAGTCTGTTGTGACAATTTCTCACTCCAACTAGGTACAAATTTGAGCAAATCAAAATGAATGAAAAATCAGTGTTTGCTGGAAAACTGGACTGATATCATTGGGAACACTGGTGATTTGTGGTGTTAAGGTAGAATCCCCATTTTCAGGGGGAAATAAGGTTCCTCCTACTCATGTTCCAGAAGTGTGGGGAAAGTGCTGAAGTGACAGCAGCAGAGGTGTGTGCTGGCCCTGAGGTTTAGCAGTCAGCAATTGACTTTTCCTTGACCCTGTAAAATTCTTATAAAAACCAGTACCCCCAATCAAAAAGTCCTATCTGCTTAGAAAGCAATTGTTACTGGAACTAGGAATAAAGACATTTCTAAAAACAAAGCAAATTACATCCACCTGGGTAATGTTTACATCCATTGGAGGTAAAGGTGGGAAGGTTGCCAGTTATATCAGCTTAGAAAAGAAAGACTAAAGAAAAGTGATTAAAAGTTCTCCAAACATTAGAATTTATAGGCACAGGCAGAAACTTTCTGAAAAGAGTCCAGGGGTACAACAGACAGGAGAGAGAATTGACAAATGGGATTACACCAAATCAAGAAGTTTCTGTACAGCCAAGAACAGTTACTAAATTAGAATGACAGCCAACAGATTGGGAGTTTACCAGCAATACATCCGACAAAGGCCTAATATCCATAATATACAAGAGCTTAAGAAATTAATCCCTCCCAAAGCTAATAAATCAATCACTAAACGGACAAAGGAGGTAAGGATGTCAAAGAAACATGAAGAAATGCTCAACATCCTGGCCATAAAGTAAATGCAAATCAAAACAACTTTGAGATTCCATCTCATTCCAGCTAGATGAGCCAACATGGTGAATTTGAACCACAAATGCTGGTGGGGATGTGGGGAAAAGGAACCCTATTGCACTGTTGATGGGAATGTAAACTAGTACAATCACTGTGGACAACTAAACATAGATCTTCCCTATGACCCAGCCATACTACTCCTGGTCATCTACCTAGAACATCAATCACAAGCCAAGATACCACAAAGACACTTGCACATCTATCTTCATTGCTGTACTATTCACAACAATCAAGTTAAGGAAACAGGCCAGCTGCCCTACAGTAGATGAGTGGATCAAAAAATAAAATGTAGTACTTAGATACAATGGAATTTTACACATCCATTTGGAAGAATACTATGTCATTTATAGGGAAATGGATGGACCCAGAACAAATCATGTTAAGAGAGGTAAGCCAAGCTCAGAGAGACAAATGGTGCATGTTTTCTCTCATATGGGAAGCTAAATCTAAAGTACAGTGGGACGTGATAAATAATATAGGACTTTAGACATTGACATACAGTGTGACCAAAGGAGGATGCTTTTAGGGGAGGAACACAAGGTGAAATGCCTCTGTGCCCCTGATCATATAAAATAATATTTATGGAAATTAACTCGAGGAAATGGAAGTAAGATTTTTTTTCTTTTTTGCCTTGTTTGTTCACTTATCTGTCTTTGGGGGAGGGTAAGGGGTGGGTACAGAAATGGAGGGACAAAGGATGAACAAATGCAGCAGTGATACTCACTAGAGACTATGTTGAAAATGAACTATACAACTTATGGGCAGGTACAAGAGGAAAAAACTGAGAAAGCAATGGAAGGGTTAACATTGTCCAACATGAAATGTACTCATTACCTGCCTTACAAAACTGTAACTTTTCTATACAGCACCTTTATGATAACAATAAAAAAATTTTAATTAAAAAAAGTTTCCCAGCATGTTACATGGGGCACATTTCTTGAGGGTTCCTCATGGCCCTACTAGTTTTGTTTTACAGTCCCAATATATGCCAAGTCTTGAAAATTTTCCTGTAGAATCTGAGTAAAACCTCATCTTAGGGCATATTTATGACCGTCCCATTTGGAGTTTTATTTTTTAGGTCTGAGACCAGGACTCAAACTCAGTTCCTGATGATTTTGCTCATTGGCTAGCACTCTGCCAACTGAGCCACACTTCCAACCTTCATTTGGAGTTGTTAAAAGGCCAAGGTTAGGAAAGAGCCTGGCTTATCAATCCCTTATATTTAGTGGGAGCAAATCATGGATAGATTTCACTACAAACTCATTTGTAGAAACTTTCTCTTGGATAGGGACCCCTGGATTTTATCTGATCCCTCTTGAGGATATCTCTCTTTTAGGAAGTACCACCTACATTCAGTGTGTCCTTAAAATTAGAGACATGGAAGAATTTAGGTAAAACTAGTTTCTTGGATACCTAACCTTTCTCCAAAACAGTGTCTACTTCAGCTCTAAGGTTTTTGTTGCTGTTTGTGCCAATCTTGGGGCTTGAACTCAGGGCTTTTGCTTTTTTTTCCCCTCAAGACTGGCATTTTACCACTTGAACCACATTTATATTTCCCAGCTTTAGGTTTTGATAAAACTTCTTTATTTTTTATCAGAGTTGGTGGTTGTCAAGTGTGAAAACTACTTTAATCCTTTTGTTTGCTTCAAAGAAAACAATAAAACAACGAACTTTCTTGGGATTCACCCAGGGAAGCCTAGAATTATAATTCTGTGAACTTGAGATAATCTATATTGATGCATCAATTTTCAGATGTCATATATTTAATATTGAAAGATTTTCTGTAGTGTGATTTTTGCCAAGAACCTTGAAGAACAAATTCTTCCAAGTCTTTTCATATCCTGCCTGAAGGTAAGTGGAAACAACAAAAAAGAGAACATAGAAAAATCTGCAAATAAAATCTCAAACTTCCATTTCCAAAAGTGAGGAAAATATAGACCTGAGACCTCTGAGACATCTGCAGGATTTTGAGTCAAAACTAGGTGGTTTTCTTTGGTCAGATAATCTAGTCTCCTAGGAGGTCCCAATGAAACTGTTCTGAAGGACCTCATACTATGTTTTTATGGGTAACTTAATTCTCTGTCCCCCATTCTACTCACTAGGAAAGTTTTGAAAAGGATCTTATTTTAAGACGGAACTTCTATTTTTCTACAGAGATTCTCCTTTTTTTTTTGTCATAGACACTTTTGTAAGCCTTTATACCCCAATCTAGCTTCACATTTTAAAAGGAAAGAAAACAAAATCTTTCACAGAAAAGGAGTGTGATCTGTGGGAGTTTTTCCTTTGGTTAAATGTGATGACAAGAAGATAGATGGGGAAGCTATTCGTATAGAATATTCAATTTTTTTTTCTGGTCCTAGAGCTCAAACCCTGGGTTTGGGCCCTGTCCCTGACCTTCTTTTTGCTTAAGGCCTATCACTCTACCATTAAGCCACAGTGCCAATCCAACTTTTTTCTTTCTTTCTGTGATTAATTGGAGATAAGAGTCTCATGGACTTTCCTGTATGGGATGGCTTTGAACCATTACAGGTGTGAACCACCAGCACCCAGCAAAAACATAAATGTTCTGAAATGAAATAGAATATGGAGAGTTTACAGTATGACAGTACACTTCATGCTATGGCAATTGATGGTCACAAGTAACAGGCAAGTAGAGGTGTACTAAGTCCTAAAAATGGTTTCCATGTATGGGAAGAAAAAAGAAAGAAAAAAATAAAAAAGTCCCTGATCCCCTCCCAAAAAAAGCACTGAAACAAAAGACTGAGTTGCTTATATAGTCACATGAAAAATAAACATCTTTATTTTTTGCCTACTTTATTTCATTTTTTTCAAATAAAATTTAAATCTGTACAAAGTATACTGTTACAGTATATATTTTGTAAGAATCAATGCCTAAAAGAATCACAATACTTCAATAAGCAGTACAGCAGACCTCGCTAGTTTCAGCTTTGATATTGAACAAACTCAAGCCGGCTGATGCACAACACATTTGCTTGGTTTCCACATGGTGAGTTCCCAGCACTGAGATGGGAGAACATGACAGCAAATATGGTTATATTACAGCCCAACACACTGCGCTTCTTCATATGATAACTGCACATAATTAATACAGAATGCTCAAATTTACTTTTTAAATTACATTTGCTTACATTTTAGTTGGCAAAATTCAGCATTCTTAAATGGGGTCCCCAAACAGTGCAAATTAATGATATTCTACTATATATTGGCACATCTCCAATAAGGATTAACTTGTAAACGCAAAGAATATCAACAACTTATTCTAAATTTTAACTAATATACATCTGGTCCATTTAACCAAAGTCATTTTGGAAAGATATTAAAGAACAATTCCATTTTTGAACAGATTTTTTTTTACCATTCTTTAGAGAAGACAAAATTTTAAATTGCCATTAAAATGTTTTACTATAAAAATTTTACAAACTTGATTAGAAATTTCAAGAGTATGATTCACAGCAGACAAAACAAACTGTTTATATTCCAACAACACCTAATCTTTAAGACTTTCAGACAGAGTACAACCATGTCAGCTGTGTTAACTGAAATTCTGAGCAATGTACTAAATTTGTGAGTGGTGCTGGGTCTAGCAAGTGTAAATACACAGTATATTTTGATGAAAAGAATTGTCTTCTTTATACTTTATATGTTTTCCCATAAGGAAACATTAATGTTTACATTCTTTAATAAAGTTAATCTTACATCAGAATATAACTTAATACTGTCAGCAACAGGGACCACACACAGTAAATAAGAAGCACATTTAAAATAAGTCTGAATTCACATAGATTAACATTTGTTGGTTAATAAAATATCGACAGTATTACAATCTTACAATATTTACAGTAAGAAAAATCTAGAGTAATATATACCTTTCACAGCAGGATTCCTTTTTAAAATTTCTTCCAGTTTGGGATTGTGTATACACAAAAAGCTCAAAATAAAGCAACTCTGCAATATAATCTTAAAATAATGGCTACTAGGGGGAAATTCTATCACAACCATTGAAAATAATGGTGACTTCTCACGGAGTCTGTGGCATCTGAGAACCCAGTTAATTAACCAAAGTCTTGCTCAAACCAGCCTTAGTTACCCAGATTAAAGCTGCAGAACTCCGGCCTTCCCTGACTGCCCAACAGATTTTCTAATTATGCCATAAGAAAAGAGGGAAAATCGATTTCAGCTGACACCTCATGGCTGTAAGCCTCCTGCTAGTGTATATTCCCAAACTTACGCTAAACGTGGGCCCATTTCATCCCTAAACATCACAAAAGTCCATTTCCCAACCACAGGCCATTCTGACACCAAGCTCATTTACTCTTGAACTCTTGTGCATGAGAATACGGCATGAATTTGGCCCACATAATTAATACACACCAGTATCTTAGAGACTTGGGACTGGGGCAAAGAAAGAGACTAGTGTAGTTTGCACGGAGAGCCACAGGAAAAATGGGAAGTGATGAACATTTCCAATTAGAATGACAAGAAGACCCACATCCCTAAACTGGAACTTGGCCAGGGCATCAGAGTTAGCACCCCCTCTCTGAGTACCACAAGCAATTAGGATGTGTGCTCTGGGCCTCCTGTAGGAGAAAGCATCTATAGTAAGTAACAGTGTGGGACATTAGTTCAGTGATGACTCCCAAGAAAGCAGATACAATTTTTGAATCTGGAGCTGTCTACAGCACCTGAGGTCAATCATCTGAGCTGTGGCCTGTCCCAACTCTCTTACTTTATGCTATCTGATGGGCACAGAGCACCCAGGGATACAGCTGCTGGCTACTTTGGACTCTAGATCTCACAGGTAATCAACAGGTATCTGGGATTGAATTAGCAAACTGTACCATGGCTCCTTAAACAGACAGTCAGGTTTGAAATCATGTCAAGCATGAATCTTCACTGTCAGGTCAGAAATCCATGTGGGAGTCTTCCCACATCAGCCAAGGTTATTTTGTCAAAACCTTAGAGGAGTTGTACAGTTATTCATGTTGCAAGTGATTAGTTACTTATTTCAGTTAGGCTGGATTGGCAAACCAGACTGATCTATTTTGTTTTGTTGTGTTTTGATTCTTACATATGTGCTAACCCAAAGCTGTTGTTTTGGGTTAAATACACTGACAGAGAAAATTCAAACAAAAGTTTCAGCAAACTTCTGTGGTATTCTCTTTTTTTTTGGAAGTCAATGCAAGATCTAAAGGTATTTCTACCCAACAAAGCCTGTTTAAGTGTTTAATGTTACTTCCTTTTTGGTCCTATACAGAATGCTATGACTTCTATATAGGTCTGAATGCTGCTCCATGTAGATTATTCCTTCTGTATATCTAAAAATATATACTTTTCAGTAGTTCAATACATGGTAATCTTCCCACAGAGGAAGATTTTTGTAATCACATGTTGCAAAGTAGAAAAACATCTCCTTTCTAAGAAAGGAAATACACTTTTCTATTGTACACTTTTGAATAAGCCCAAAGGCATGCACCAAAAATCATTATTAAAATTAATACATGCACTAAAATGGTGTAGAGTTAGAATTAAAGTGCTGCTTCTCAAATTGTGAATTCTGAATTTTTGACATTTTGTCAGTTGTTGAGTCAAAGATTCCCCCCTTCCAACCCACCCCATGGTATCAAGAGAGTAAAGTAAAAAGTATGCATAAACCTCTAAACTATTCTTTACATGGGGAAGAAGAATGGATATATTAACTATCCTATTTATAAACTGGATTCCCAGTTTTAAATAAAATCAGTATTTACTGGTAAAAATTGTCAAAGCTAATACACCCAAATAAATGTTACTAGTAAATAATGTTCTACATAGAGAATAATTTACTTTGGTTTAATGTACCATCTTAAAAATAATGCTAGTGTCCCACCAAACTGATGTGTTCCAGCAAAGTTGTAAGGCAAATCTTTTTTTTTCCCTAGTGACATCTTGTTTCCCAATAGGCAAAACTAAAATCTTTTGGTGAGGCAGGGGTTAAGATAATAGCTAACCCCTTGGCATCCTGAGCATTGGTTTATCAAACTCTACCCTGCTAGAAGTTGTCAGGCATCCTGATCCCTGCCTTGAACCAAAAATGGCTCCCATGTCTAGAGATGCCTTGACTCTTTATAAATAGTTCTCAGAGTCTTGCTTCCTTTTCCTTCTGTCTGGATGTTACAATGTCTAACAAAGCTGGTTGCAATGCCACATTTTGCTAGTAGGGGCCACCATTTAATAATTTGAATCTGAAATATTTAAAGTTGATAGTTCCTATTTTTATCAACTATTTGCATTACAATTTTATCTAGAATTTACTTAGAGCAGAGATCCTTAAGTTGGGTTTCAAAAGATCTGTGATGCCCCTGAGGTTGTATGCAAAATTATGTGTATGTGCATTTTTTCTGGGGAGACGGTCCATCACTTTCATCAAATTATTGAAGATATCTGCGACCCCCCAAAAAAGGGTTATAGGGAATTAGAAGAATACCCGTAATTCATTCAATACCAGGATTAGGAAATGGAGGCAGAAAATGAAAAATGGCCTCAAAAAGGAGGAAGGAATGCTGATAGTTTGTTGTTGTTATTGTTCTCATTTAGAAAATAAGTGATTCAAACAAAAAAAAAAAAGGATTAATTAAGCTGGTTAAACTTCCATTAAAAAGTAATCAAAGCCATTTCTTCATTCCCCCACCCCATTTTCCATATGGGTAATTTTAAGTCTCCAGGAAAAGGTTTGGAAACAGAATTTCTTTTTTCTTAAAGGAATTAATTCATGGATCTAATGCTGAATATCATCCACACTGAAAGATCTAACAGCATGAAACATAGGTAATTAATGATATGGGTTTTGAGTACAGGATAATCTAGAGACAAATGTACATTTGTAACCATCATTTTCAAAATTGGTCCACATTTAGAGACTACCTGGCACAATTCTACCAGATAAACCTAAAATCTGGACAATGGAAGTTAAAGTTCCTACTCAAATTGAAAACAAAGCCACAAGTTCCACAATAGAATCCAGCCACAAACATTCACACCATGTCATAGAAGACATTCTCATTTCAAATACATCACAGAATTTCAACAGAATTTGCAAACATAAGATCCAGAATGACTAGCAAAACATGCTGAGAAGAGCATGTCAAGAATTAACACCCCTCCTCCATCCAGAAACACACTCAAGCATTCCAAAAATAAACCAAATCTGAAAAGCCTCTCTCTCACTTGTTGGTTTTAAGTATGAGGTGTGTAAAAAGCTATGGGCAAGGAATACAAAATGAAATAATTAAGTAACTTAAAAAAATTAAGCCCCAAACACATCTTTGTTCTATTGATGAAACTGTCATTTTTGCAATTCTGAACACTTCATTGCACAATCTCACTAAGACAAAAAGATATGTTCACAGGTACACTTTTTGTTCTCTTTGTAGAGCATTATCAGTGAGGTTATAAGATAACCTCTGATTAAAATAAAGTCTCACATCCTTTGCTGTCCCCTCCCTTCAAAAAAAAGGAGTCAATTGTAAATTCCAAAAAGGAATAGTCATTTAATTATTTTAATACCAGTTAAATCACAGAGATTATGAGGAAAACTATAGGAACATTATGGAAAAACTACATGAAAGAGGGAGCTGCCACTTGCAACCCACTTCGCTTTCAGCGTTTTAAGCATTACCCAGTAAGATTCGGATCTCATTGACTAAGTAAAAACAGACCAACACTCCAAAACCAGGCCATCTGAAGCCAGAAGTTGGATTTCAACAACATCATTATACATATCCTATCCTAAACTTTCATTTTATTTAAACAGTTCAATAAAGCTCACATTTACAAAAGATTTCATTGGCAAATAAGGGCCCTTATTAAAAATTTTTATCAAAACAAATTCTTGTATTATATAGCTAACATTAAGAAATATTTCCTTGGTCTTATAAAGCAGATTTAATTGCATATAAGTTTTGCTTTGGGTGGGATCTTGAAAACATAATTCTGCAAGAAATTAGAAAAGACTAGAAACAAAAGTGAAAGTGACTAGTCTTAACTTCCAAAATATCAAGTGCAAAGATAATAGTGCAAATAATGAAAACTAGAAAATTTATAGGCAACTTTATAGTTTTTCCTGCTTTTGCACTTATATATAATGACACCTTTACAAACCCTAACAACTGTATGCAGCATGGAAATGGGCTATCATTTCTACTGACTAAAGTCAAGCCTTTCCAAGACTTGTCTTACAGATATTTAAAATGACTGGTTCTTGATGGAGGTTTGGGAATTCTCTTCTTAAGGGAAGGAATTTACTTCCCAAGGAAGGGGCTGTTTAAGAAGGCTCTTAAACAAGTGATACTATATAACTATATTATAATTTAAAATCTGACACACAATAAGACATGAAACTATACTAAGTGCTACCAATAAAATAACCCCACTATTGTTAATGAATTTGACATTAAAAAATTACCTTCCAAGTTCAAAATTCCTTTGGGCTATTTTAAAACAGATTTTTACTTTATTAATGTACAGAGTCTGATTAAAATGAAAACTTGAAGGTAAGTGTTCAAAAGTCACTGGGTATAAACCCATAGTAAATCTGCCAATGAAGAGTCAATCCAAGAATATCTGAATTAAATAACCTTAAAAACAAATATTAACAGCAATTCTTCATCTTAAAATAATTTAAAACACCCCTGGGGTTATAGGAACAGAAAACAATACCATCACCTCATCCTACAAAGAACATAAGAACCCCAAACATATATTAAATTATATAATTAAATTCTACCACTACTAAAATTTTGGGAATTCTATGATTTTAAAGTAAGAGAGAAAGTGGGAAAAGAAACAAAAACATCAATTTAAGGAACAGGTTGTCTAATTTTAGAAATGCAACATTTCTGGAGGGCCTCAAGACCATGATCATAATTCACATCTAGGAATACAAATGTTAAATAGAAAAGATACCTAAAATTGCAATTTAGTGTTTTTTTACCTAGCTCATTAAAACAATTATGTGACCTAAGACGAAAGTTTCTGTAAAACAAAGGATGTTTGAGAATGAATCTCTGTGGACTGAAAAATCCGATAATTTGACTTCAAGAATATTTTGAATATGACAAGAGCTTGAGAAAAAATAATTATAAATATTATGGATAGTTTAAAATGACTGTAAAAGGGCTTAAAACTTCTTTTTCAAAATGGTAAGTACCTTGATCAGAAAAGCTGGGATTCCACAACTGTATAACTTAAATTTGACCCAGAAAAGGAAACATTCCACAAATCAACCTACACATGAAAATATATTTGTACAATGCATCATTATCCTCAAAACTAGGTGTAGAACATCAGTTTTCTCTTAGCCAAAGGGGTCTTGTTTTCTCTGGCATTATCGAAACTTCCTTAGTAAAGATCAATTTCATTGTTTTGACTAAACAACTGTCCTTCAGACTTCATTTTAGTACTTTTTCTATCTCCAATAAAATTTTCTCCCACTTTACTTCCAACCATTCCCTTATATACTTCTCACATCCCCATTCACAAATACGTTAAACAGCTTTTCCCATTCCTGCTCTCAAATTTCCAAACCAGTAAGTCTCAGTTCCCAGTAACTTACCTAACCACATACTTCTTACACTCTTCAATTCACAAATTTCCTAACAATCATTAATTAAGATGCTCTTCAAACTGCCAATTTAAGACTATGGAGAAAATAAGAGAAAATACTGCCCAATTACCTCATAATACAGAAATCTCTCTGGATCATCAGTTAGCTATGTTCTAAGGTAGAGGTCAGCAATTTCTTTACTTCTTTCTGAAGGGAGTAAGCTTGAGCGCAGGCCTATGGCAAGAAGAATAAAGAAAAAAAGAGACAAGGAAAAAAGGATGGGAGACAAGATGTCAGATGTATTCATTAAAGAGGTAGGTCAAGAGATACCAACTAATGTGCTGGAAACTGCCAACATATTCCAGCTGAATGGGAGTTGAGCAGAACTATGAGTCTAATAAATTACCTGAAGTTATCATTGTTTGAGCTAGTCAAGGTGAGTAGGTACCACCTGTTCCATAACTGCCACTTCACAAGGTCATCTTTCCTTAAATCCTCCTAGATGCCTTCTGTGTTAATACATCTTAAATCAAAACACACACTAAGAAGAGTATTTCTGTGTTTTGTACGATTCTAGAATACAAGGACTTGGTTACCAAACTTAGAGGCCTCCTGAATTATTAAAAGTAGACCCAAAATCAAGAAAATTCAACTCTAATTTAAATTTTCCCTATGTTATACAATTTAAATGGTTAAGTTATCAGTAATCACCAAAATATGTATTCATGGAAACACAAAAATCTTGTGTCCAAGGTATGTAAAATATTTCTGGTCTGTAAGAAGCAACTTAATTTTTCAGAGGATCACCACCATGTTTCTATCTTATCAACAAGACAATTTTCCACAAGAGCAAAGGACATCAGGAAAAAAACAGGAAAAAAACATCAGGAAGGAGGGAGGAACCAAGTGAGGAGAAAGGAAGGAGAAAAGAGTAAAATAGCAAATGCCAAATGTAATATGGAGACAAAACAAAAATGAATAGCTACCAGATTAAGGAAAATGTTTTAAACAAGTGACCTTTACCCTATTAAACTTTCCTAAAGACATAAATTGTCTAGGCCAGGTAGCATCAAATTTGGTGGTCAGTTTGGCAGATGAAAGACAGAAAATTGTTGGCTTAAAACCAACCATATTTTTCACATTTCATCTAGTTGTTCAGCTTAAAATTATAATTCAGGCCAAAACTAGTTTAGATTATCTTCACTTAGCCCATAATAATGAAATGTCTGTTAAAGAAAGAGCCAAAATGGCCTCGGCCTTAAACTTAGGCTTGGTTTTAGAATCATAAATATTAGCCAGCCTTTCTTAAAAATACACTGCAACTCTGCAAAGACTCTAATTACTGCTGTTGACTAAAAACAGTAATTTTTAATAGTAATGATCATGTTAGTTTTATAATGTACTTAATTATAAATGGTCTAAATTTGGTTAACATGCAATGAAGAGAACAAAATATATAATGTGTGATTCAAAAAAGTTGACAAAAATTTTAAAGGCAGATTCACAAAATCAGTGAATTGCTTGCTTAATCAAATCTAAAAATGTTCTCTATTTCACTCTCATGAAGAAATATATATATATATATACATACTTGTATGTATATATAGGTATATATACACACAACTGTTTTCAAAATCAAAGTTGCTAAAGATGCCCTTGTTTTAGCATTTTTTTCACATAGTAACTAAAATGTTATTCTAACATTCAAAAGACTTTGAAAAAGGAAGAAAGTCATTAGATTTGTTATCTCTCTTGGTGGGGAATAAAACATGTTCACATTAAAAAAAAAAAAACAAGCTATGAAAGCTACCCGACCAATTTCAGAAAAAAAACTTATTCTAAAATCATGTAGAAATGTGTGTGGAGGTGTTAACATGAAGAAATGGGAAAATTGTAGAGAAGAGGGTAAGCCATACATGAAACGTAAGTATAAATTCATGCCCATGGTGGGGTTACCATGGTAGGCAGAAAACTGAAAATGTCATAATTAAAAAATGTGTTGTGGCAATGTTTCAGCATTTGTGCCAGCACAAAAACATTAAAGCACAGAAACAAAAATGAGTAACTCCTCCAAACATCAAGAAACCAGGAAGAAAAAAACATTGGCATACCATCTTTTTAAATACACTAAATCTGACTTAAAAGATTAGAGAAAGTGCCTGAGCCATTATACCCACCCAGATTCTCATTATCAACAGATTCATCATTTTTCCCCTCCCTTCCAACCCAAATTTAGTTGTTTTCCTGCAGAAAAAGAACATCATTCCTACATTAATAACAAGAAATGAAAACAGTGAGTACAACTGATATAGATCCATTGACTTTTATTACAAATGTACTTGATCACTTGGCTTCAAAAAATTTAAAATCAATACCCTATTTTCTATATGCCAGTACAAAGCAAACTGTTTTACAAATTAAATTCTAAAATTTGACAAAAATATTAAAATTTGATGAAAAACAATTATAAAAATCCTTAATCTTTCTCTTCAAAAAGGGAGGCAGTCTTCCCAGTTCTATCATACAGTATTAGTAATATTCACCATTTTTAGAATAGGTAGCTAAGTTATATTTTTATTAGCATAAAAACTCTTAAACTATTTTGTTTATGCTCCAGTTACGTTTGTGAATGTCATCTGATTGCAATATAATGAACTATTTTTAATTTAATTCTAATTTACATTTAATAATTTGCATAGTTTGAAAGGGATAAAGGTTATTCTACAACTAATTATGACAGGCTATTACAGTGCTATTTTTCAAGGCAATAAGTACTTGCTCCCAAATGAAATAATGTCTTCTTTAGGCAGGGGTTAAAATTATTAGCAGCTTTCTCCATTACCTGAAGTATCAGACTATCCACTGGTAGATATGAAGGCCTAAAACAGTAACAAAAACAATATCCTTGCAATATGGAGTCAAATTTTAACCCCTGCATGGGACCACTAGAAAGTGAGACTTTCAAAATTTTAAAATTTCTCTGTTGGTTTTGGTTTTTACTTTCCATGGCTTTTGTGAAGCTGGAAAACAGTTTGTCATTCCTGACTAGCATTGTCTTCTTCCCTCCCCCCCCCCCCCACCATTTGGCAAATATACATGTACTTCCAATCTGTATCTAGTAGAGGAAAAGCCAGAATGGCTTTCCTTATGAACTTCCTTTGTTGTCAAAGGCATGTATGATGATTTCTACAGTTCTGGTTAGTTAACTTTAGCTCCCTCTGTGGCTGGATGACTGCTGCTTCTAACATCAGCACGATAAATAGGAGGCACAAATAAAAAAAAAATAGCTTAAAAAAAGACTCAAGTGATTTTAAAGAAAAAAGAAACATGAATAACACCACACACACACACACACAACACACACACACACGCACACGCACACACACAGCATTTCAAATCTGATGGCTGATCTCTGGATTAAATTACTTGACAGTGTCTCTCATTTTAAGAATGTCAATATTGTAATGCATTTCAAGTTTTCCTTTTTACTTAGGCAAATAACATAGTTTAACCAAGCTCTTAGACTTGAACTATAAGACAGAGCAGATCATTAAAAATAAGGCATTGTCAAGAATTAAGTTTTGTTTACTTATTTTTGGCACATTTGATCATACTGTCTTCTATGAATAACACATATGGTCAAATATACCATTTTATTTTCAGCACAAACAGGGTTTACCAACTAGCAAATAAAAACAAGGAGAAACTAACATAAAACACTGAGATATAGAACCTTGGTAAAGTACCGAGCACCTGGGAAGGGAAAGGTAGTGGAAGGATGAAATAGGAGAGGGGAGAAGGAAAGGTTGGGTGATTGGGGGCGGGGGGGGGGGGGGGTGGTGGTGGTGGTGGTGGTGGTGGTAAAATGAGATGCTTAAAAAAAAAAGAGCATCTTTACAGTCACTCAGTTTTTTGTATGATCACTTCTTAGTCTTAAAGATCTGCATGTAGATTTCTTTTAAAACCCACTGACTATAAATCAATGGTTTCAAAATCCTAGTAAGATTGTGTTCAACTGTAATAGTGTAAAGACAACTGCACAATACATGTGCTTCTTGATCCGGTAGGATTCCAAGCAGAATCTGAAGTCTATAGATAAGTAAGGCTTCACTTTAGGTAAATGACCCTAAAGAAAACCTCTTGAAAGAACTCACATCTCAAAGAAAGGACACTTTGCCTAAGTTTGCTGTGTTTTTGTTGACTTGCACTACTTATTGCTGGCTACTATGAAACACTGAGCTAAGAGTACTCCAACAACCTGTAGTACAAGGCTTAACTTTAAGCTATAGTAAACAAGAGACAAAAATCAAAGCAATTCTCTTTCCTAATTAGCAACAGCATAGAGAATGCAATCTTTTCCATATCACAGTTAAAATACAGTGAACAAAACAGCTCAACAAACCTTAAGACAAAAAAGTGCAGGTTATTAATGTATACATGCAATTGATAAGCATTCCAAATGTCACAATACGCACTGTAAAAGCTCAACTTTACTATATGGAAATAAGAAAAAAAAACGCACCTTTGGGGAGAGGGGGAAAGCAATTTAATCATTTCCAGTGATTTTGTAAGTAAAGAAACTCCTAACTATTGTAACGGTCACCTCATATTTAACATTGTATGAATATTAAAAGCAATGGGAAAATGCACAGTACAATGAAAATAGCTTGTTATTCAACACATACAGTAGATCTCAAAAACAAAGACAACATACTCAACCAGGGAGCTTAAAAATATCAAATCAAAACCCAAAGAACCAGCCAAAAAAAAAAAAAAATCCTTCAAAAAGACAACTGTTTCACCTTCCTAGGCCAATGCTTTATAATGGGAGAAGCAGTGATACCTTCCCACTCTACAGGTGTTTCTTCTACATACAGCAGTTAGATCTATAATGGCTGGATTTGCCAAGAAACAATTCCATCCCCAGAACTCTCTGTCAGACAAGATCCAAGATCCTTTTTTTCTTTTTCTTTTTTTTACCAAAATACTTTCTACAGAATTCCAAACCAAAATGTACTGTTTAAGGCATCTTTTTTTTATAACATTTTCTCTTCACTCAAAGATGATAGTCATGCAGCAGTTTAATGATAAAAATATATTAATATTTTACTATACAGCAGCAAGAAGTTAGTTGTCAATTAAAAGCACACAGACATCTTTAAATGAAAACCTGTAAAAGACTATCGTTACAAACAATTTCAGTTTGGAGGACACCAGCTTGGTAAAGTGCTCTCCTAAGCTTGCATTTTTATACCCTAACACTTTGAATATATGAGTTATAGAACATACTTTTGATAGAAGGCTTGTACACTTGGGGAACACAAATACACTTAGCATATAATGTAGCCAGTAATAACTAGCACCACAGCTACATGGAAATCCTTTACAAACACCAACTTGGCTTTCACTTTTAAAATGAAACTCAGAATCCATGGCTCAGTAGGATAACTATAATTGTGTTACTTTGCTTTTTAACAGGTCTACATAAGTTAATAGCACTGGCAAAAATCAAAAGATAGCTTCAGACCTCTTACAAGGTTAGGAGACAGTGCTAGTGACCACAAATAGACTCACTACCTGATGTCCAAATACAGGTTCACTGGAAATTGCTGCACGTTAGTTAAGTTTTTAAAATCTTTCTACACATAATAAAAAAAATATATTATGAACGATACAAGTACATCTCATATACACAATAATAACAAAACACCTACTCAAAGCAAACAGATGCAGAAAAATATGGGAGATTTCTTTTTCTTTCTCTTTTTCCTTTTACTATTTGAATAACTTTGGTTCCAACCATAAAAATCACAACTTAGCAAATTTCATTTAAATGCCTTTTTTAATAATTTCTTCATGTTCACAGAAGTTTCACTGACCATTTTTATGCTTAAGGTCCAGATGCAATGCATATTGTATAAAAGAGAGCACTTATTGTTTACCTTGCATGAATTTAACCTACGTACCTTTAACTCTACAAACTTCTGCATAACATTTAGACAAAGCTCAGACACACAGCATGCCTAGCCCTCGTATATATATACACATCTCTAATCACAGGTATATAGGGTGTCAAATATACTATAATAACCTCCATGTAAGGTTTGAAATTTGGTAACAAAATGAGAAAAACTAAAAATATTATTTTACGTGTTCTAAAATATCTCTTCTTTGTGCTAAAGTCAAATGTTAGCTCAACATGAAAAGGACTTTTATATAATTCAGCAATATTATAATCTTGACCATTTTGCAAACACTTTTAATAATAATAGCTTAAATGTGTACAAAAGTTCTTGGTTAATTAGGGAAATAAACACTCAGTTCTTTATATTTTTTAATCAAGTAGGAAACACAGTTCATATAATGTTATTACTTTTTGTATTTTTTTTTGTTTTTTGTTTTTAGCAGCTGCTTACTGTTTTATATGGTGGATAAAGTGGACAACATCCAGCGATGGGTGGCAAGTCAAGAAGAGAAACTGTCAGTTGGTGGAGGTTCTGTGGGTGGTGCTCCCTTGGAGTTGAGTTTTTTTTTTTTTAAGCTTTTTAACTTTTTATTTTCTCTTTCTTTACAGTATATATTTTTCTGTGTGGCTGTGTGTATGTGTATTTGTGTGTGTGTGTGTGTGCGTGTGTGTGCGTGTTTTTCCATTCAGTTTGATCAATCTTCTTCCCCTTCTTCCTCACCCTGCAGTAGCAGGGTGGCAGCGGTGGTCTCCTCCTGCTGTTGCTGCTGCTGCTGGTGGAGCTGCTCACAGGCAGCCCGCTTCTCCCTCTGCTTCTCTTGAATCTTCTTCATCTCCTCCGAGTACTTGCAGAAGGTGTGTCCGAACTTGGCCCACACCTTGTAGGGCACGGTGATGGAGTTGCGGTAGGTGGGCTTCACCTCACTGACTCGCATAAACACGCCGTACTTGTTGGAGCCCACATCGAAGAAGAAGCGCTTGTTGTCCACAGTCAAGGAGGTGCCCTCGGGCAGCTCGGCCGGCTCCTCCTCCACTCCATAGTCGTCGATGAGCTTGGCCAGAGCGTCACGGAACTCGATGAGCCCCTGCGCGGGCAGCGCGATGGTCTGGCCCTGCGTGGAGCCCAGGCCTGGCCCCCGGTTGACCGTCTGGCGGATGCGAAGGAAGCGGCCGCGCTGGTTCTCCTTGAGATCCATGTAGTACTTGCGGTTCTCGCGCACCAGGAACTCGCTCTTGAGCGCCCGGCGAGGCTCGTCCTGTGCCTGGGCCAGGTCCGGCGGCTGGCTGGGGCCCAGCTGCGCGTAGTGCTCGATGAAGTCGCCCAGGTAGTCGCGGAACTCCACGGCCACTGACATGGAGAGAGTGAGGCGGCTCTTGTTGCCGCCCGCGCCCACCTCAGCGATCTTCAGGAAGCGGCCCTTGGCGTTCTGCTTCACGTCCAGGTAGAAACGCTTGTTCTGGATGTCCACCCGCTTGGAGGCCAGCTCCTGCGTCTCGTGCTGCAGTCCCCCCGGGGCCCCGCCGCCACCGCCGCTACTGCCGCCGCCGCCCCCGCCGCCACCACCGCCCCCGCCGGAGCCTGAGCCCGAGCCTGGGTGCCCCAAGGAGCCGCCCGAGCCCAGCGCCGCACCACCCTGCTCGCTGCCGCTGTCTCGGTCCGCCATGATGCTGCGCTCCGCCGCGCCGCCGCCGCCGCCGCCGCCGCCTGCCGCTCCGCCCGCCGCCTCAGTCGCCTCAGCCGCCGCTGCTTTTCCCTCCCCGGCTCCGCCTGCTGCTGCTGCTGCTGCCGCCGCCGCTGCCGCCGCCGCCGCCGCCGCCGCAACCCCCACAGCCAGTCAGCCACTCTCGCGAGATCTGCGGGAGAGACGAGACAGACGAGACCCGGTAACAGGGCACTGACTCCCCAGTACAGTAGCTGGGCGCCCTACTGTACGCGCCCACCCGCCCGCCAGCACGTGACCTGCGCCCCCTCCCCATGCCAGTCCCCTCACCCCTCTCGACCCCACCCGCCAGGCGGCGCCCACCCGCCAGCCCTCACCCTACACCCCTCGCTAGAGGGAGGAGGGAGTGGGACGCGCCGCGTCGCAGCTCTGCTGCCACCGCAGCTACTGCCACCACCACCACCACGGTTGTCGCTGTTGGCCAAACCCTTAGCGGCCTTGGCCTGGGGAGTTGGGGGACCAGGGTGAGACGGCATCAGCCGTACTAAGCACCAGGGACGGCTCTGGGCTCTGCTTTCTGGAGACCCTGGAGAGCATGGGGGGAGGGGCGTGCGCAGCATAGCAGAGTCCGCTGCAGAGGGGACACCAAGTCACAGCCACCCCCTCCCTTGCGAGCCTCAACCAGACCCAGTCCCAAATCCAGACAGGCCCTCCCGCCACCAGGCTAGGTTGTCTCCTACCGCAGAACCCAGGCTGCTAAGGCAAGCGAGGAAAAAGAGGTGGTGCGGTGGTAACCCTTAGCTGCAGAGGGGGCTGCTGGGGAAGAGGACGGGGCGCCGGCAGCAGTGGCGCGGAGCAGCAGACACCTAGTCCGTCCCTCCCCTCTCCCTCCACTCCCCTCCCCGCGCAAGGCAGCCGCTCTGGCCTCAGATGATCCCGCTCCCCCCTCCCCCCAACCGCAGCCCCGCACAGTCGGGCGGGCGGGCGGGCGGGCGCACTCACCGGCGGGAGGGGGGGAGAAGCAAAGGGGAGGACTGTAGCCGCACCAGGGCCGGGGTGCCTACAATGATTATTCAGTAGTCTCTGCCCTTATCCCAAATAGCAATCAAAAAGAAACCCCACACTCACCCCCAAACCTGCAACCAGTCCCTCTTGGGATCACAACTGCCTTCCTGTCTCCCCCTTCCTCCTTCTGAGATTTGGGGAAGGGGGGGCACCCTACTCTTGGCTGAGCCCAGCCTGGGTTGAAGACTAGCTCTGCGGATGAACCAGGCCCTCCTGAGCATTCAGACCCCAGCCCACTCATTCCTCTCTGGAAGGACCCATAATGGAAGAGAAAATCATTCAGTCTTTTGGAAATTCATGAGCTAAAAATGTCAGGAATTTCCTGGGATACGCAGTTCCTTGCCGGATTCATTAAAACAGGTTCACTAGACCCTTAAACTCTGCCTCCCAGGACCTCTTAAATGTCAAAGACAGCCCCCATCCCCCAAAAGGTAAAACACTAAATGATCGCTACGTTTTCTTCAGACAACTAGGCTATCCACCATTAATTAACCAATGAGTCTTTGGATAGTGACAGCTAAAGGGGGTTATTTTCTGGTTATAGTAAAGAAGAGGCTGGGGAATATATTTTTTTCTTCCTAGAATGTATGCATAATCTAGGGCCTATTTTCCAATTCCCAGATAGGTAGCAAATATTCCCTTACTGCATATACCTAAAGCCCCGCAGATGTGGTAAAGCTAAGGCCTATTTCCTTAGGGGACCGCACCAAGGCCCCTCTATAACCTGCAGAGGACAGGATACAGCCTTACTTCTGGCCTTTTCAACATTGAGTACTGTCACCCTAAGAGTGATTCCTATCAAACTTCTCTCCCTTCCCTCCCAAATGGAAGGAGCCTTAACTCCCCAACTCTTAGCTCCAGAAACAAATGAATACATGGTTGCCCCCAAAAAGGAACAGTCAAGAAACTTAAGAAGACTAGGGATATATGCCTTATCCATGCCCGAGTACTCAAAGCCCCTTAGTAAATTATTTTATTTTTTGTACAAACGTGTCTGCTAGGCATTTGTGTCTTCCCTATTTTCTTAGCAAAAGTGTTACTCTACTCAGCATTAGCTACTTTATACTTTAGTTCCAGGCTGAAAGTTCATTACTTCCTACTATGAGGAAAAAATAGTGTAGAGAATACAGGCCACCAAAGAGCAACCTGGAGGATGAGCCTGCCAGCCTCAGAACCAGGTGCCTGTGTCCAGTGGTCTCTGAAACGCTTGCTCTCCAAAGGGAAGCTCACTATGAGAAACAGAAACCCAAACTCTGGACCCCACAAAGAATTTCTGTTTAATTTGAGGGGCAACTCTAGTACTACATTGAACACCTTCAGTGCTGTTTCCCAGCACTTCCTCCCCCTATCCCCGTCTGTTGGAAGAGAACACAAATTTTTGGACTATTTCCTATCCCAGAAAAAAAAAATAAATGTATTAAGTGGCAGTGTCTCCTTTAGGCTCATGCAGCAATCGGAACCCTGGATAGACCCCAGACTCTCCAGAGGCTGAGTGGCAGCACATCTGCATAGAGCAGAGCCGGTCCCACTGGCAAACTAAAGTTAAGATCTGATGAAATCCAACCTAGAAAGGATTTTGCTCTTTTTCAAGGGTTTATTTTGCAATGAACCAAAACCCCTGCCCCATAATGAGCTCAGAGTAGCAAAGAGGCCAGTGAGATTTTTGATGAAAGGGCTGCCCACCTCTGGTCCCACACCTTGCTGATGATCAAGGCAGCAGGGATAGAAGTGTAGGGCTCCAGACTACCTGCCTTTCTGGTCTGGCTTCCATAGTTTAAATTTCTTGCCCTCTGTCCCAAACATTTATGTCCAAGGGTTTGGAAGCAGTTTTACTGTGCCCTGGGAAGAAATTTTATTATAATCAGGAATTGACTTCTTAGTTCCCCAGCTCAGGAATTGACTTCTTAGTTCCCCAGCGCAGAGGCAACTGAAGTTTCAAGACAGAACTGTTAAATATCATTTGCACAGTTGATATTGAAATTTTAAGCGAAAGTGGGTAAATGGGTAAGACCTGGAACTCTTTAGGTAAATATGCAATTATTTTATTCGTCTATATATGTACTTTCTGCCCATATATTCCAGCTTCTGTCTTTCATATATGTATCTAAAAAATATATAAGGCTAATACTCCCTTTTCCAGATTCAAAGATAGCATTTTTTTTTTACTACAAATAAGAGGTATTAATTTCAGTATTAACCGAGGAGTGTGGGATTTTTCCCAGGCTTCTTAGGTAAAAATTGCTTTCCTTACGCTATTGAATATAGTTTTAAAATGCAGTCTTGGAGGAATGAATATTAACTGGAAGAAAAGTCTTAAAACTGAAAGTTTAGAACTTTAAGTAGAATTTCAAAGTTATAGTTGCATCCTAACATTGAAAATCCATAAGAAAATATTTGTATTTAAAAAGGATTTACCTACTTGTGAATTACCTAAATAGTACACTAACCTGATGAGTGAAAAACCTATAGGTTAGCTGTTTTTATTTGTTACTTTAAGACCATTAGTTGCAACACTAAATTTACAATTTCATTACAATGTAGGAAAGTAAAAGAGGAAACGAAATTTGTAGTAAAATATCCATGTTCATGAAAACTCATAAAAATGTTCTTTTCCTCAAAATGTGCTTGCTTATAAACCTGATAAAGATGTCTGGGTTTCCTGAGCTCTTTTATTAACACTATTCACATATTTTGATGAGTCTAGAGCTCATTTATTTTTCATTCTACTATGTATTTAACAAATCCCTACCCACAAAAAATTTGCACAAAGAAACAGGTAAAAGAAAAAAAAGTACTCAATTTTCATCAGCCTAAATTACAGGTGATTCTGAAACAATATAATTCTACCTTGTTTTTTAAAGTAAAAATCAATACACATCTCTGAAACATCTGGAGAGAGCATCTCTCAGAAACAATGTTGATGAATATTTTACAAATGCACAAATTTTCAAAATAAAAGAGAATGTTAGAACTTGTTGTGTCTCAAGAGTTACTTGGGTTAAAACAGACAATTATCTTCAATACCTAAATCATTAAAACTAACCAGAATGTTGTTCTACAAATATTCAAAGTGGAAGAATTACCCTTTTTTTTTTTTTCCCATTTATGGCTTTCTACCAGGAAACTTAAAGGAAACTCTTAAGTAAATCTTAACATTTAACATAACATCAACAGTAACATCTCATAGTACCAGCATTTCATCAATCATTTTTTAAAACATGTCCCTTTTTATAGTTCACCTATTTTGAAAATTATGCTTCCTTAATGCTATATTAATGTTTAAGGATTATGATATGAATTAAACATGTAAAATATGAAGAGAACAATTCATTCGATAGAATCTTCGAGTTTACCAAATATTTTGTTTAAACATTTGCAAAATAGTTAAGTAATTTTGGCACACATTCTAAAATTCACAAAAGAATCAGAGAACCCAACATTTTACATATCCTCAAAGGTCCAAACAGAACCGATTCAAATGTCAAAAACTCTTCCAAGGAGATTTAAATGGTTTTACTAGTATTGTACTCAAAGCAATGAAAACAGCAACTCTCTCCACACTCTAATCAACACTAATTTCCAAAGCCACAATTCGCTTGGGCGGGGGCTGAGGGAGTCTTGAAGTAATCCACAAATTTCCTTTTCCTTCTGACAGTTTACCAAAAGATGTCAAACCAAATCCAACCAAATCTATCCTGTTGTAACACTCACACGGACCTCCCTTCCAAGGACACGGGCCACAAGCATACATACTGATGCGAAAAGCTGTCCAAAAGCTCCTGGCCCGACAGAAACACGAGGGTCCCAGAACAGAACAGAGTAAAATCATCAAGAGTGTCCCGCAGAGACGAGGGAAATGAAGATGGCATTTATTCAGGGGTTCACGGCTACGAAACTAAGTTACCTAGCCAGTGTCTCCGGGCCTCCAATCTACCAAAGTTCAGGTTTATGGCCGTTAAATCTGTAGGTAAATCCCTTCCCCTACAAACATCACAGCCCACGTCTGGGCCCACTGTCCTTCAGAAGGAAGACTCTACAGCTTCACATCCCTTTCTTTTGCCCCCCACCCCCGCCCCCGACAAAGGCAGAGGAGGCTGCAGAGCTGACCCAGCCCCGCGGGGTAGTAAAACTGCCTTATTCGCGCCACCCATCCTCGGGCCTGACTATATCTGCGATGTCAGCGCAGATTTTATTTTGCCTTTTTTTTTTTTTAACAACGCATCCTGGGCGGGGTGTATGCAATTTGGGGTGGGGGGTGTTCAACGTGGGGGGGTAATGTAGTGTATTCTATAAAATCTTCCTTCCTCTCCCCTCCTTCCAGGGTGGCCTGAAGGGAGTGTTGGCTACGTCTAGCGCACAGTCCCAGGCCCCGCGGTTTAGGGGAAATGGGGATCAGAGATTACTAAGAAAACTGCATCATTGACTGTCTACAGCGCCGGCAGAGGTAGCCTCCCAAACCGGCGGGGGGGAGGTATTTTGTCCTTTATAAGAGGTGGAAGGGGGTTCATTCCTACGTCGCTACCAGGAGCGCGGCGGGGGGAGGGAGGGGGAAGGGTGGAAGGCGTTGCTGCACCGCCTGGATCCCCAAGAGGGAGGGTGCGGGGATGTCTGCAATGGTACCACGGTTACTCTTGGGCTGAGAGGGCAATTAGAGGGAACAGGATGGGTAGCACCTCGAGCTCTGGCAGTGGCAGCACGGAAGGTCGCGAGGGGCTTACCCGGGCCGAGCGGGCGGGCGCTGTCCTGCCGCAGGTGAGGGAGGGCGCAGGCTGGAGGGAGGGAGGGAGGGCGCGCGCGAGGCCGGCGCTAGGCTGGCGAGAGGAGGGGTGGGGGGGAGGGGAAGAGGGCGCGCGCGCGC